AACAACTATTGCAAATCTATATCTATCAGCACTTGATCGCACATACGAACAACCGCAAAACGAACTACACCTTTCCATTACAACAAGACCTCTGATTTCATAGCAAACCTTAAGATACTGAGGTCATTTTATATTGGCAAATGTAGCATGATTTGCCGTCGTGCGCACAAGCTTCAGGGCATACTTCACATAAGTGGTTTCATTTTAAAATAAAGGTAAACTGATGATAGGTACCTCTTGAAAAGGTATCGTGTAATCCTATATCTGTATAAGGGCCTTTGAAAAATACCTCGGTTTCATTCTAATTTAAAAATAGTAAAGGTAGAGTACCTATCAGTGGCGTCACTATATCGTTCGGGGCCTGGGGTAAATTCATCGGATGGGATCGAATGATCGCATTCCCAATAATTTTTAAGTGTGGGAGAGTCATGCTTCGGCACGAATGGGCCGACTCGACTGGAGTGATACCACGGCCTCACTAAAAACCGGCGTTGAACAACGCTTGCGTTGTGTTTCGTCGTGGAATTACCCCCCTCCCCTTCCCCAATCTCCCCAATCCCTGCATCACCAACAATCCTCTTATTCCTAACCCCCAAGAGGCGGGTAATGCACTTATGATGCCTCTGGTGTTGCAGGTGTCAATGGCCGACGCCTATTGTTCATTGTTTACCATCAGGTAATCCGTCTGCTACGGTCTTTTACCGGTTTATCCCATAAAAAATAAAATGAAATAAAAAACAGAGAAGTTCAGATGAAAACCTCTGAACGGGGAGTCCTCTTCCAGCTGTGGACCTGTAGTTTCGCCACTGGTATCAACCTATAAGCATAGCCTCTTAAGTTTTAGACCTATCGCCACATAGGTATAAACTAAACTCCAAATAGTAAAAGTAGGTACACATAGAGAAAGGGCACTTCTTTTACACTACCTTCTTGTGGTCTCCTTCACAGGGAGCTTAATACGCTACAATCATACAAACGTTACATTTTAATAAAAATGTGGCGCACATTTGGATTTTCTCCTATGTTGTGAGTGAGTTTACAAACTTAGAATTTCACATACACCCAGACCCACAACACTCATTTGTAGATCATACAAAGATGTGTGGGAATTGCACCCGTTACACATTAGGTAAGCGGCATCCGCTTACTCAGCAACAATCGCCCCAATTGTGCAGTCTTTGTAAGTAGGTACCAAAGTATCTACCTAGCTACAAACAAAACAAGATAAAAATCAAAATGCCGACAAAAATATTTTACCAAGAAACGTGAAATGTCAAACAATTAGACGTTCTTAAAAATAATCTTATCAAACGATATTGTCCAAGAATTATATTTTTACTGATGAAAAAATCGTGTAATGCCAATATCAATAAACAAATCACAGTTATTATTTATTTATTTAATTATGTCTTATGTTCTTATTCTTACGTTTATTCTAAGATTTCATTCAATAATTTGTTTATTTTTATTTTGTACTTTATTTCATGTATTTTGAATGAATTTATCGAAATAAAGATTTTTCATCAGCCTCATACCGACAACTTTTAGATTGATAGGTATTATTAGGTCAGCAAGTACCTAAGTGCCAGTGCTTTCTAAATTAAATGCCTAAAATTGTGACTTATGTAATAAACAATCAAGAAAGAAATAATTTTCCGGTTTAGTAAAGAAACAGGTTGTTACGACTTACTTCCTAAAAATTAAAAAAATGTTAGTAAAGTCAGAACTAAATACTATTGCATTTTCATCTACCCCTGAAAATAAACGTGAAACAGTAAAAAATTAATAACGTTTAAATTTAGTCCAACATACATAGTCACTGCTAACGCCATCTATGTGGCATTTGTAGAAAGTTCATATATTCGCAGTTACAGGCCATGATGTACAACAGTACATCATTTTATGAAAACAAATACTTTCATGTTAAAAAAATATTATACTCAAGTCATTATATAATGGTTGTGTTAAGAGTAGTCTTATCATATCAGTGGTTAAGAGTTATTTAACAACCATAAATACCAATATTTCGGTCGTTTGAAAAATTACAACATAAACTATGGTTGAATCTGGCAACACCGTGCATGAAATGCCAATGTCACAAGCGTCAAATAATTCCAAATTCAAATTGTGAAACGAAAACAACGGATTCTACTTTATTTGTATTTAATAAAATTGGTTGATTTCATTAGTAAATATATCAATATGGATAATACAATAAAATCTGTGACAGATAGCTATCCTAAATATTACATTGAAAAACAGAAAAGCCCAAGTTATGTGGAAATGTATACGAAAAATAATAGGGATATCGTGCTGGTTTGTAACAAGGTATAATATAAAAAGTACTACATAATATATTGTCTATTGTTCCTTGAGTAATTTGAAAAATTAAAGGAGTTTGTATTACAGGCCAAACAAAACACCTACATGTCGGATATTCCGAGTAAAGACAATAGAAATGAAGCAGGTAAGTAAAAACATATTTCTGTTTTTATTCATTTGTAAAAATATTGTCCCTTTGTTCTACTAGATAAATGAATTAGATAATTAGAATGTACAGAAACCGTAAATGCTGGTAACGTTGTACCTACCAAATTTAATTTTCAAATATGTTATCATTAAGTTGGTTGAGGTTGAGGTTGACTACTATTGACGTTCGATGTGAACAGACGTGTGCATTAAACATATTGTTGAATTAACGCAAGAGTGACCTACTAAATAATTTTTGCTTAGTTTGAAATTTAGTAATTTATAATGGAAACGTAATCATATTTGAATAAAAATGGATAAATTCCCGAACAACCTGGCTTCCTGTGCCTCACCAATAGAAAGCAGCCGTAAATCTGACTTCTCTATAGAAGCTGTGTCCACGCCCGACATTCAGAACTGGATGGCAAGCATTGAACAGCAGTTAAATGAAGTATGTGTCATTGCAACGGAAGGCAAACTCAATTCGGAGCAAAAGCTTAAAATATCAAACCTGAGCCGTAAAATTGGAGCTGATGTCTCGCAAATGGCTGTCCTTTATCAAGCTCTGAAGCAGCAAGCTCGCCTAGCCGTCAACATAATGGATGAATTGAGAGAAAACTGTGACCTGTCGAAACAAATTGATGAGATCAAAAAATCTCTCAAGGACTCTACTACAACGAAGAATGTGTCTTTTGCGGACATGGTGAGAAAAGGATCCGATTTCGTTCGACCAAACAATCTGGCCTCTGTCGCTGTGTATCCGACCAATAAACAGAAAACTAGCGAGGAAACTAAAACTATGGTGCAAACCCTTATAAGACCTAGTGAGATGAAGCTGCGCGTGCGTGGAGTCCGCAAGACACAAAATGGAGGTGTAATAATCAGCACTGAGTCGAAACAGGATGCTGAAAAAGTGAAGAATGCAGTTGGCCTGTCGTTATCCGGTCTTCTCGCAGACGAACCCAAGAAGCGCAAACCACGAATCGCAGTTATAGGAGTGCCGTCATCAATGACTGATGCAGATGTCTTCAGGTATATTTATGAACAGAACTTGTCTGACAAGCTCCCGGAGATGACAATGGAGTCTTTTTTAACATCAGTCAAGTTAAGTCACAAATCGGGAAGAAAGGATGCGCCGACCTGCAATTTCATCATCGAAGTTCCAGGCAAGATACGTAAAGCCCTTATATCTCAAGAGAGAATTTATATCAATTGGACTTCTTGCCCCGTCAGAGACTTTACGCTTGTAACGCGATGCTACAATTGCCAACTATATGGACACGCAGCAAAATCATGCAGAGAGATCAACTCATCGTGTGGCCACTGCGGAGAAGCGGGACATGTACAATCCTCGTGCACTAAAAAGTCGGAATCCTCTAAATGTGCTACATGCTCTCGTTACAATAAGCCCAATAAACATAAAACCGGAGACACTGACTGTCCGGCTAGGAAAATAGCTGAATATAGGTATATCAACTCTATCGATTATGAGGACGCGTGATTGTCATATTCTCAGATTACAGAGTTGATTAACCTTTCCTTGCACATTTAATTAACATCGCAACAAGTTGGCGTACTCAACAATTTGTTGCTGTTCAAGCATATTTTATTGTAACACCGAGTGAATGACCGTTTGGACTGTAAACTAGATTATGTTTCTGTTGATGTATCAAATTCTTCAGTACTATAGTTCCTACAATGTTTTATATATATATATAATATAATATGTATATCTATCTATTATTTTGTATTTAAGCTAATATGTTTACTTGTTAAATAAATGTACTTATACTATAATATTAATATTTAGTTATATATCATGTCATGTAGTCATGTACTTGTGTATGTATGTATATTAAATAATCAACTCTACCTTTGATCGATTACTAATGTTAAGGAATTTGTTTATATAAATAACTTGCCCTAGAATTAGTATTATTGTGAGTGCTCCTCTCGCCTGTGATACAGGATATTCTTCCTAGTACAGGCATTAAACCTAGTGCGATCTCTGATTTTAAATTAAGATGTTTATCTGTAATATGACCAATTTCTTATAATGAATAAAGATTTAAAGATTTAATTAAAGATTTAATTAAATCATTAATACACTTTTTGTTTTTTTCTAAAACAACTTTTATAAATATTAAGCAGTCACTACATATTTCAATGTGTATGTAAAGTATATCATACATATTATTATTATATATCACTATCACTACACAGTATAAAACAAAATCTCTATCCACCGTCTGTCTGTCCCTATGTATGCTTACATCTTTAAAACTACGCAACGGACTTTGATACGGTTTTGTCAAATAGATAAAGTGATTCTTAAGAAACATTTATATGTATCATACATGCATATTGCACCCATGCGAAGTCGGGGCGGGTCGCTAGTATAAAATTGTAAAACAAAGTCTCTATGGACCATATTCTGTCTGTCCCTATATATGCTTAGATCTTTAAAACTATGCAACGGATTTTGATGCGGTTTTTTTAAATAGATAGAGTGATTCTTAAGGTAGGTTTATATGTCTAACACATGCATATGGCACCCGTGCGAAGCCGAGGGTCGCTAGTAATTCATAATTCTAATTTAATCATTCACACCTTATTACATACAGGCAGGAGACATACATAACTTCACACCTGTCTCCCATGGGGGTAGGCAGAGACTATGGAGCTTATTATTTTATACGGAAAGTGTTATTAAAGTTCAGTAGACACTTTGGAATGATTACATCAAGTAATATGTTTTAATTCTTCTTTCTTAACATTTACAGAAGAACTAGAGCTAACAGGATCTCCGCTGAAGCTAGACCTGAGTCTGCACACAGTATTGGATGACACCATGATGACTGATGAGCCTCAATTGTGGACCAAGGAGGAAGGTTCTCATGGTCCAATTAGTCTTGAGGTGGCTAGGTAAGTTTTACCGTCATCATCACCATCAACAGCCGGAAGACGTCCACTGCTGGACAAATGCCTCCCCCTTACTCTTCCACATTGAATGACAACTCACCACCTCCCACCACTGCCACTGCCACCCACTGGCTCCCTTTCAGCCACTGGCTCCCTTTCAGCAACTCTGGTGATGTTGTCGGTCCACCAGTTTTATCTTTACTTGAACTTTTATTGTTTTTATGAATTTTTACTCTTCTTTTGTTTCTAATAGGTAGGTAATAGTTAATATGAACATAACATAATATCACGCCTTTTATCCCCGAAAGGGTAGGCAGAGGTGCACATTATGCCACTGTACAATGTAACACCCACTTTTCACAATTTATGTTATGAGACCCATGTAATAGGGGGTGAGCCTATTGCCATATACCGGGCACAATTCCAGACTCCATGCCACTACGGGGATTTTTTTAAAAAACCTAGTAATACTTAGCCGTCCCGGGAATCGAACACGAAACCCGTTGCTCGTCAGTCGCATTTGCAACCACTCGACCAACGAGGCAGTCTTAAATATTAATTACAACAATATTTTAATTATTTTCAGAAAAATAGCCAACCTATACAACAAAAACCGGGACCAAGTAACAATGGAAGATGCAGTACCTCTTTGGATATTGACCAATCCCGTTGAAGAAAGTAAACCTTTGTTGGTGACCGTACAATCTGACAGTACTCACTTTGCAAGAGGTATGGTAACTTATGATGGTAATACGAACCAGGACGATGTTGATTTGGACATGTTAGTCGAAGACTATGCTAAGAGGGATTGAGTGCGGATTTGGTGAGTTGTGTTTTATGCAAAGTTCTACTTATGTTGCTTGAGAGTAAAATTTTAAATATAGTTGACTGCACGGTTGGTGCGGTGGCTGGGCAACCGGCTGCCGTGCAACGTGTCGCGGGTTCGATTCCCACACGGAACAACACTTTGTGTGATCCACAAATTGTTGATCCGGGTCTGGGTGTCATGTGTATGTGAACTTGTATGTTTGTAAACGCATCCACGACACAGGAGAAAATCCTAGTGTGGGGCAACGTTTAAAAAAAAAAATGAAAAGAAAAGAAAGAAAAGTTCTTTATATTAATAGTATAATATTTTCTTTGTTTATATATCAAAAGACAAAACACTGATTTACCTGAATTTACTATACATTATATAACAATAAGGAGTATTGTTCTGCATTGCTTCATTTAACTACTATTTGTATATCCAATTAATAAAAAATTGGTTTAAATTACATTCAGTACCATGATAAACTGGAAATTTTCTATTTATCCCACTATGATGTTCAGATTTACTACCACAAACATAAAAAAAACTTTCCAAGACATTTAAACTGTCAAACATCGCGAGGACACCGGTGACCGCAACCTGTTGTTCTTTAGGGTAGACGACTAATTTTTATTTTAATGTCCTTCTGGTAGATTATTTAAAAACATTAGACACGTATTTTTTCTTTTCTCACAGAAACGAATAGTTTCGAAGATATATTGATTTGAAATGTCGCGTGACGTCACTTCTCAGTACATTTTATACTAAGAAATGACGTTTTAGCCCCCACTCCTAAACTTTGATTCGTTTTATCTAAGTATTGTTTTATTATACGACAAAATAAAAAAATACGTGTCTAATATTTTTTCATTACCTAACTTACGGACTAATTATATTTTTAATTTTCATACCCAGTCATCATCCCCATTGTGCCTATAATGACGGTACTCAAAGGGTTAAGGCAATTAATAACTATGTTGCAGATCACTACACTAGTTGACTGCAAATACCTAATCTCCGGCATATCCTACGCTTCCTATAACACTGATGAGCTGGTCAATGCTCCTCATGGTGGTGTCACGGAGTTGCGATGTGAATGGCCTGGAAAAACACTGCACACACCTTATATCAGCTGTAAAGTCAATTTTGTAAGTATTAACTAAAATCGCGGGTTACTCACGTGAATATACTGAGAAAAGCTCTACTGGTCTGGTCTGGTACGAGACGTCGCCGCGACCGCGCACGATGCTCATGAGGAAGAACCCCACTGTGGTTCGAAACCAGTAGAGCTTTTCTCAGTATATTCACATGAGTAACCCGCCATTTCAGTTAATTTGTAAGTATTGTTTGAATTTATCATTTTGATTTTATGTTATTGTAATGAAGCCAAGACTATGGAATCATACTAATTTGCGTAGTCGTATTGTAGCATTTATTTGTAACAAAACTGCATCGTTGGCCAGGCGGTCGCAGTCTCGGGTTCGATTCCCGGGTCGGGCAAAGTATTAGGTACTGGGTTTTTAAAAAATTCTCAGTGGGAGCACGGAGTCTGGAATTGTGCCCGGTATATAGCAATAGACTCACCCCCTATTACATGGGACTCATAACATAAATAGTGAAAACTAGGTGTTACATTGTACAGTGGCATTAAGTGCCGTAATGTGCCTTCCACTTCGGGGATAAAAATCGTGATGTATTGTATGTATCTGTGTTTACAACTTCTCCAAGACAGTGTTGTATACTCATTTTCATAATTTTATTTTTAAATTATTACAGTAAATATCAGTTAGGTACTTATGAAACAGTACATTTTTAGCTTAACATTGTGAAAGCCGGCACGGTTGTTGTGGCTGGGCAGCCGGCTGCCGTGCAACGTGTCGCGGGCTTGATTCCTGCACGGAGCTCTTTGTGAGATCTTAGAATTATTGTTTCGGGTCTGAGTGTTATGAGTATGTGTAGTTGTATATTTGTAAACGCTCTCACGACGTAGGCGAAAATCTTAGTACGGGCAAAGTTTATTTGATTTAAAAAAAAAGAAAAAGTTCTCTCTCTATGGCCTTGAAATTCATCCCCTAAATTTGTTCATACAAAAGTAGTCTCTAAACATTGGAAATAAGGTCTATAATGTAATCGAGTTCTAACATTGAATAAATTAAATAACAATGTTTTTAACTTTCAGGAGCAAGAGATAATAATTGGCCACCTAGCAAGTCCGTGTAACACCATCTGGCGGTCTGTGTGTGCACTACACAATATGAATCAACTTCTGGTCGACATGACTGCTGCAGGATATTCTTCTGTTAACCTGGAAACTGCTTCAATCAGGTAACTAGTATTATTTATTTACCATTAGCTTTTACCCGCGGCTTCGCTCGCGTCACAAAAGGATAAAAGTAGCCTATGTGACATATACCTATACACACAGCGCCATCTATACCAATTATTTTGTTTTCCCTCGGGAATGTCAAAATTTTCCGGGATAAAAAGTACCCTATTATTTAATCCGGACTTCTAACTTTACGTCTGCAAAAATTTAAAGCAATCGGTTTAGAAGTTACGGCGTGAAGGCGGAACAAACAAACAAACTCACTTTCCCATTTATAATAGTAAGGAAGGATATTGCAATGTCAAAGTAAAAAATATGTTGTAATGTAAATGTAAAAATATGTATTGCTTCAACGATTCGACTGTCGAAACGATTCCTATTCTGTCCAACATAGAAATAGTTCACTTTGATATATTTTATATCGTAATTAGTTAAAGTCAAAGCATTTTTTTCAGTTAAACCATGATTTGTTACTTTTGAAACGTCAACAAATACAAAATAAATAATAGTCTGTCAGTGAAGCTAGGTGCTCATTCCAAAATGTAGATTCGAATGGAGGAGAACGAGCAAGAAACTCCAACTTAAATAATTAGATATCAGAATTTACCCTGATACCAACGAACTTACATAACATAACATAACATCACGCCTTTTATCCCCGAAGGGGTAGGCAGACGTGCACATTACGGCACTTAATGCCACTGTACAATGTAACACCCTCTTTTCACTATTTATGTAATGAGTCCCATGTAATAGGGAGTGAGCCTATTGCCATATACCGGGCACATTTCCCTACTCCGTGCGACTACTGAGGTTTTGACAAACCCAGTAATACTTTGCCCGACCGGGAATCGAACCCGAGACCCCTTACCCGGCATTCGCACTTGCGACCACTCGGCCAATGAGGCAGTCAACGAACTTACGTTTTGTGATTAATAAAAAGGATAGTCCCATAGAGCACTCCGGTCCGACGGTGGCCTGTGTTGCTCTATGGGATAGTCCTATAGTTAATTTGCAAGGGTACTTATTCGCGGATCCGCGGAGTACTTAACGGGTTGCCGGGGCTCCGACTCAAAGTGCAGGAGTAGGAACGGGGTGGCTTTTAGTCAGTAAGAGTCTGACACTCCCTCTTGCCTCGCCCAGGCAGAAGAAGTCATTGGATAATTTTCACCCTTAAAAAACCCCATTCGACATTCATTCGACTGACAGAATATAGTATAGGGTCATAGCAGAGCCTTCTCGTGAAATCCAAAAACTACTTTTTTTATGGCATAAGCCGGTAAACGAGCAGAAGGATCACCTGATGGTAAGCAATCGGCGTCGCCCATGGACACCTGGAACACCAGAGGCGTTACAAGTGCGTTACCGGCCTTTTGGGGATTAGGAGTTTGAGGATCGTTGGGATTCAGGAATTGGGGAGATTGGGGAAGGGGAGGGCAATTGGGCCTCCGGTAGTCTCACTCAGAAACACAACGCAAGCGTTGCTTCACGTCGGTTTTCTGTGAGGCCGTAGTATTACCTACTCCGGTCGAGCCGGCCCATTCGTGCCAAAGCATGGCTCTCCCACACTTTCATTACACTTTCTAATATAAATTACCTAAATTTTCTCCCTAACATATATCCCAAATTGATTTCAGAAATAACACGCCAGGCGCTAGACGCCACAACAACTCGAAACGTGTCAACGAACTATTGAACGAGACTGAGACATATGCGTATACCGCGGAATGTCCCGCTGGCGGGTGCATTTGTGTTACAGAAGACACCACTACACTAGGACAGTGTCTAAATGACATGAATGCTATTGGGTCTTCTAATGATTTTACTTATAAACTCTGGGATATATTGCGAGGTGAGATCCTATAGATATTTTGTATTGTGTGGTAACAAGTTCTTCAATTACATAGACGAAGTCAATATGACTGACGAAAATTGGGTCTAGCATTCTAGGATAAGCCGGTAAACGAGCAGACGGATCACCTGATGGTAAACAATCGGCGTTGCCTATAGACATTTAAAACACCAGAGGCGTTACAAGTGTATTATTGACCTTGTGGAGATTCGAATTTGGGGAATGTTTCACGTCGGCTTTATGTGAGGCCACCATTTACTCCGGTCGAGCTTACCCATTCGTGCCGAAGCATGGCTCTCCCATACTAAATTTGAATACCTTGGATATACCTTTACTTTATTAAATAATTTAAAAGAAAACATTTTTTATTAATGCTATGCTATGCTATATATTATATACCTATTACTATTTCTATATTCTCTCTCCTCTGTTTCAATTGTATTGACAAACTTCAAACGTTTTTGCAGATTGCGAAACAGCAGAGGAATTAATAACATTACTAATCCAAGCCCTCAAGTTTATATCTTCGGGAAAAATCAGACCATTCGTAAGTATTCATAACTGCCTGCATATCTGCCAAACGATATTGAATTTTACAATAGCCTAATAAAGTAAATTTTCCTATACCACTCGACTTTCATACATCAACAACCATTTTAAATCAAATTCTCTCTTTAAATACAGATAGACGCGAACAACAAAACGTATCTATCGAAGCTAGTCCTCAAATTGTCAAGAGGACACTCACAAGCCGCTAAAGTATTGAAGAATCTTCGGTCCAGTCCACCACAAGCGCTGTCATTGGTCGCGCAAGTCGGTACTGAGAAAACTATGTGGGAATATACGAGGGTCATGTCACTGCTGGAACATTCCTTCTTCATTGCTGGGATCTGGAACAGTGATGCAAGGTTTGTGGGAATATTTTATTATTATTTTTTTATGGCATAAGCTGGTAAACGAGCAGACGGATCACGAGATGGTAAGCAATCGGACCTGGAACACCAAAGACGTTACAAGTGCGTCACCGGCTTTTTAGGGATTAGGAGTTTGAGGATCGTTTGGGATTCAGGGATTGGGGAGATTGGGGAAGGGGAAGGTAATTGGGCTTCCGGTAACCTCACTTACACGACGAAACACACCGCAAGCGTTGCTTCACGTCGGTTTTCTGTGAGGCCGTGGTATCACTCCGGTCGAGCCGGCCCATTCGTGCCGAAGCATGGCTCTCCCACACTTAAAATTTTCTCTGATACAAGAATAATACTTTTTTGTTGTTGTCTATCATGAAACATAGGCTTATATTTATCTATTTAAAGTCATATGGATTATTTACTCACGTAACTGTTTCGAAGAGCTTACGGTCGACAAGTTTCAAGCCAGACGAGGGCTCCATAAACATACGAGGCGTCATTTGTTGTGCACCTTCTCTACCGTGTCGCTTCTGCAATGGAATTTAAAATGTATTAAAGAAAATTCGATAGATTAATGAAACATATTGTAGTGGTGGCCCGAAGGTTTAAGACGCCCGCTTCTCATGCATGAGGGTACAAGTTCGAAACCTACCAACGGCAAGTACCAATGTGACTTTTTCCGAGTTATATGTACTTTCTAAGATTATCTAGACACCACTGACAAACGGTAAAGGAAATCATCTTGAGGAAACCTGGGCTTATACTTTCTAATTATCAGTTTGTAATTGCCAACCCGCATTGAGCAAGCGTGGTGATTAATGCTCAAACCTTCTCCGTATGAGAAAAGTCTTTGCTCAGCAGTGGGCACTTATAGGCTGTTGATGGTGATGAATGAAACATAGGTCTATTGGCAAAGGATTGTATTTTGTGTGAGGATGGAAAATATTCAAGTGTCGGCTCTTTGAGCTTTGTGGGGCCTCATCACTGAACATTTATGGATATAGCAATAATCATTACAATTCTCACATTTCTAGAACACACGAATCAATAGAACAAATAAACCAAACAATACAGGACATGACAATGAGTGGAGGTGATTTCCAACTGAATCCGTTCGAGAGCTTCACGTCAGCCGAGCATTCTATTCGATTGGACTGTGAGTCGTTCTACGAGGAAGACACACATGAACTAACCGTGGATGACTTCGCGTCCTTGAAGAAACACGGTCTTGTTGCTGAAAAGAAAGATGTTAATGAGGTCTGTATCTTTTATATTACTTACTATAAGTGTGCAGGGGATTGCACTGCTCGATTCCCCCTAGTCCTTTCCATCATCGTACCACAAGACAATCCGCGAAGCGTCACCGGTTCATGGTAGATGTCCCACACACTCGCACGAAGCATTTAATTTCAAGTTTCCTTGTGCGAACTAGATTAGAACACTAGGATTTTCTCCTGTATCGTGGGTGCGTTTACAAACATACATATTCACATACACATCACACCCATACCCGGAACGACAATTTGTGGATCACACAAAGAGTTGGTCCGTGTGGGAATCGAACCCACGACATGTTGTACGGCAGCCAGTAGTGCAATTGAACTGCTAAGGAGTGAAATTCTTGGCCGCAGTCTGTTTCCTAAAGGGTATAACCTGAATATCTTCAAGGCTCGAGTAAATAGTTTGCTTATGGGCAGACGTGCTCCATCGTAGGGCACATCATCGCTTATCACCAAGCGAGATAATGACCAAACGTCGACCCATCAAATATGTATAAAAAAACCTTTGGTATTTGAACAAAATAACTGAACAGCATTTGTTTTTCACATCACAATCCTCTAAATACAAAGGTGTTATAACATTCTTTATTAGACACATTGCAGAATTTTAGAGTGTAATAAAATTCAATGTGTTATTGTTACAGGTGCCATTAATAACTGATGAAATCGACATAAGTCCGTGGAAGAATCTCTTGATGAAGTTCGCACAAGTTCATGTGTGTTTAGAACATCTACATCGAGCCGAGAGCTGTTTGAGAGCTGATTTTGGTAAATATATTAATTTACACCTTCTTTATATGCTCTGTGGTCTATCACGTTTTTCTATGGAATAATTAATTTCATCATCTAATAATGGTAAGCGATCACCGTCACCTATAGATACTCGCAACGAAAGAAAAGTTTGAAGTGGGTTGCGGCATATGTATTTCTTTTCTTTTAAAAATGTTGCCCCACATTAGGATTTTCTCCTGTGTCGTGGGTGCGTTTACAAACATACAAGTTCACACACACAATGAAACAACAATTTATGGATTACACAAAGTGTTGTTCGTGCGGTAATCGAACCCACTACACGTTGCACGGCAGCCGGTTGCCCAGCCACCGCACCAACCGTGCAGTCAATGCTCTATTCTTGAAGTTTGCAAGGTCTTGTCGGTTCGGAAATACCACAGACGACATTTCATTCCACAGTTATACTGGTTGTCGACTTATATAGTTTGATTGAAATATAATTACTACTACCTTATTAGACTGCCCCGATGGCCGAGTGGTCGCAAGTGCGACTGCCGGGCTAGGGGTCTCGTGTTCGATTATCGGGCCGGGCAAAGTACGACAGGGTACTTTTTAAAAAAATCTCAGCAGTAGTAGCACGGAGTCTGGAATTGTACCCAGTATATGGCAAGAGTCTCAACCCCTATGAAATGGGACTCATAACATAATTAGTGAAAAGTGGGTGTTACATTGTTCAGTGGCATTAAGTGACTTAATATGGCACCCCTATGGGGATCATAGGTGTGATGTTATGTAATGATACTATCTTATCAAACAATACAATTACTCTAATACTTAATTCTATATTTCAGCCAGTCTAAAACCAATAGCGTCGAGACTGTTAGAACACTATGTGTCAGAGAAGTCTCCTATAAGAACAGTAGGACAGTTGATGAGCGATCCTATACAGAGAGTCAGTATGCCTATTGCTAATAACATCGTGCAGGATCATTTAAAGTAAGTCAATTTGATACTGTTTGTGGATTATAGTATTTACGTTGAATCAATTTAACAACTGACTGAAGTAATAATGACTGCCTCGTTGGCCGAGTGGTCGCAAGTGCGATTGCCGGGCAAGGGGTCTCGGGTTCGATTCCCGGGTCGGGCAAAGTACTACTGGGTTTTAAAAAAAATCTCAGTAGTAGCAGTAGCACGGAGTCTGGAATTGTGCCCGGTATATGGCAATAGGCTTACCCCCTATTACAAGGGACTCATAACATAAATAGTGAAAAGTGGGTGTTACATAGTACAGTGGCATAATGTGCACCTCTGCCTACCCCTTCGGGGATAAAGGGCGTGATGTTATGTTATGTTATGTCTGAACTAATAAATCAAAAATGTAGCATCTACTTTGAGCTAACTACTTAGTAGAAAAACTAAGTCACTACTGAGAATTTTTTTAACAGAAAGATTAAATAATAATACTCATAATTATATAACTCTTTTGACAGTCGCGACCATTGAATTGATTATTATATTCGTACTGCATCATATTTTTGAATTCTTTCTAAAGCCTCTTTTGCAATAGGCTCGCCCTCATACGTGGCTAGCTGTTCCATTAAATGTCTACTAAGAGGACCCGGTGCCTCCTTCAGGTGGAGATGGTGGCCACCGTGGAGGTTTTGTGAATCCCACACTCCTTAGTCTTTTATCCCCAAAAATCTAGGCGCATTTTGGAAGTTTCCCCCGTCAACAAAAAAAAGGTTAATTGTTATGTTTTCGGCTTACTCACGTAACTGTTTGACGAACGACTCTCAAGCCATGCTAGAGGTAAGCCGAAAATATAATAATTAATTTAGTATGTAACATAACATCATCGTGCTACTACTGGGGTTTTAAAAAACTCAGTAATACTTTGCTTTTTTATATATTATTTAGTCTCACGACAGTTATCTATATATATAAAAGAAAGTCGTGTTAGTTACACCACTTATAACTCAAGAACGGCAGAATAGATTTGGCTGAAAATTAGTAGGGAGGTAGCTTAGAGCCAGGAGACGGACATAGGATACTTTTATACAATATTTTTTTTTTACTTTTTACCGAAAATCACGAACGGGAACGGGGGGAAAATGGGATTGCGCGTACGAAGTCGCGGGCAGAAGCTAGTAATATTACAAAAAGGTGTTACATACATTAAATATGTCCTAAATACTCCTTCAGGGAATGAAAGACGTGATTTTATATCTATAATTTTTTTACTACACTAGGAAGCCCGCATTCTGGTACCGAGTGGAAATGACGAGGAAAGACAACGCTGCGAACAAAGGCGTGCAAAGAGAATCTAAGATGGTGTACGTGTTCTCCCAACAACCAGTCTTTCCACCGAGTGTTTGGCAGAGTATAGGTGAGATAAGTTACCTAATTAATTAAGAAGTTCTTTATTATTTATTACTAGATTTTACCCGCGGCTTCGCTCACGTCACAAAAGGATAAAAAGTAGCCTATGTGACATATACCAATACACACAGCGCCATCTATACCAATACTTTTGTTTTCCCTCAGGAATATAAAATTTATCTGCGTTTAAAAGTACCCTATTATTTAATCCGGACTTCTAACTTTACGTCTGCTTTACGTCTGCAAAAATTCAAAGCAATCGGTTTAGTAGTTACGGCGTGAAAGTGGAACAAACAAACAAACTCACTTTCCGATTTATAATATTAGTAAGGATATTTTTCGGCTAACTCACGTAATTATTTGATGAGGAACTCGACTAGTTTCAATCCATGATGACACGACACAACACGGACACCACAGCGGAATGCAGCTCATGAATATGAGCCTCTAGCATGGGTTGAAAATAGTCGAGTTCCTCGTCAAATAATGATGTGAGTAAGCTGAATAAATTAGTACGTCTCACGAAAGTTATAACATAAGAAGTACTTACCTAAGTAGTAGATAAGTTACGAATTATATCACAGTTGTAGGCTAGTTACTGTGTATTGAATGAGAGTTACGCATTTTACATTTGAGTAAAACGCCATCTATTGACATGGCGTTAGTTTGCAACAACTGTGTGTCAAAGGCTAAAGGTTTTGTGTTTACCAGATGGCGCCACGCATGGAATGAGCTTCTGTTTTTTCAGTAATTTGGACTGAATAAGAAATTCTCTATTAGGAAAATAGGATCTCACAATCTGATGAATATAGAACGTTAGCCTTCATTACCATGTATATCAAATACTTGCTTAGTATTACGATTAAAAGTAATAATTATTATTTTAATAGATAATTAATTCCAGTATGAATAGATCTTTGAATAATACAATCATTTTTTATGAGATAAGCCGGTAAACGAGCAGACGGATCACCTGATGGTAAGCAACCGGCGCCGCCCATGGACACCCCAAATACCAGAGGTGTTACGAGTGTGTTATCGTCTTTTTGGGGATTAGGAATTTGAGGATAGTTGGAGATTCCATGACCGGGGTAATTGGGCCTCCGGTAACCTCACTTGCACGAAACACAACGCAGGTATTGTTTCAAGTCAGTTTTCTGTGAGGCCGTGGTATGACTCCGGTTGACCCGGCTCATTCGTGCCGAAGTATGGTTCTCCCACAATAATTCAATACTGCACGAAGTACCTACAGTAAAGTATCGGTAAATTATATTTTACACCTTCTAGTCATGTGGCCATTGGTCTTTTTGTTATTTACATTATTTTATTTATTTATTTATTTATTTATATATACTTTATTGCACACACAGAAAAAAAAATTGTAAACATTGCAACAGTAATTAAAGTACAATGGGCGGTCTTATCACACGCGGCGATTTCTTCCAGACAACCTTTGGATGGAATTTTAGAAAAGAATCTGGTTATTTACATTACTCCATTTCGTTTCAGATCCTCCCACAGAAGAAGTAGCAGAAGTAACAACGTTAGGAGAAGATCTCAAATATCATATCACTAAATACACGTTCATAAGCAACAAACTTGTAAATAAACTACCCTTTTAATATTCTCAATACTTTGTAAGATCATTATTTTTATTTTAAGTTGAAATATAAAGGTATATTTTTTTATTTATTACTTACTTTTTTTAATACCCACTTTGTACATAGAAATGCATTCACTCCTTGTCTCGATGACTGCAGGCAGTACCTACACACCACAGGAATTGGGCACTTTTTTTTTGAGATGGCACAATCATCGAATGACTTCTCCCGCCCGGGTGAGGCCGGAAGGAGTGTCAGACTCTAACTGACTAAATACCACCCCGTTCCTACATGCACATCGTGTCGGAGCCCCGATAACCCGGGTCTGGTTCTGGTCGGGCGGCAAGTCACCCGTTCTCGCCATCCGCAGGCTCGTGCTTACGGTGGCCCGAGATCGTGCCAACTAGTCAAATTCAAAAATTTTTCTATGAATTTTGAATGAGATTTTGTATTGTGACGTCACATTTTTTTGCGTTAAACAGCATACTTATTTCTTTAAGGTTTGCTGGAAAAATACTAAAATTAAGTTGGTCATAAAATTAAATTAATGAAATTGTGATTATTTTTTAATATTGAATAGTCGAAATAATTTATTTTTGATATAGGAAAGTACCCAATTCATTATGGCCTTTACATTACCTAATTCTTTTCGGATTCATTAACCAACTTCTAAAAGAAAAATAAGGAGATTCTCAATTTTACCTTTATGTATGTTGGCTGAACCGATTTTGATGTAGTTTTCAGAAAAATCTTTGTTACGCTAAGGAGAAGGTTTTAGTATATTAATTAACCGACTTTAAAAAAAGAGGGGGTTAAGTCGGGATTTTGAAACGTACTTTATAAAACAATTATGAATGTAGTAAGTAGTATTCGTGTCAAAACGACTAGATAGAAGTCGCTTGTATCGAACATCTACCTTTGAACCTTATCAGGGGGTTTACTCTTGAATCCAATTTCGACCGATCGACATTGATATTGTAAAATTTCATACTCTTGAGTTACAACGCTAGCCCCCATTGCATCCATATTGCGTGGATATTGAATAAACTAAATGGTATTGAGTCTGGCTTTATATTCCGTTCTCTGAATGCTATATTAAAATTGGGGTTGAAGTATAGTGTTGACATTGCATAATTTTTAAGTTTTATTGGATTGAAATTGCAGTGACATTGAGATTGGTTTCAAGAGTATATATTGGTCCAGGTCGTTTGTCTAACTTTTGGGTAGACCTGAGCTTGTCGATCTGGACATCCAGATCGTATCATACATAGGCATACATATATATGCTCAACATAGGCCTTCTCTAATAATGTTATTCAGCAGAGGCCGTCTTTGGCTGTTATGATGATGAATGATGTCACACGTATGTGTATGTATGTATAATTGTACCTCTATACTTCAGTTGTAGGTACCGCACCGAAATGAAGGATCATGTTTTGGTCCACTTTTAACCAATTTTACGAGCAGAATTAGATTTGGTCATTAATATCTTTAATAATTACAAAAAATGCATTACTTAGATGGTGATACAATGGTCACAGCGAAGCTCAAAGATATGTAGATCTCCCTAAAGAAGAGCTGTAACTGGCACGATGAAGACTCCGGACTTAGTCTATTTAGAAGACCCTGGGCAACCTCGTAGATGCCAAAGGTGACTACGTGAGTGCTTATAGCGAGGTAATAATTCCACAGTCCCTGTAGTATCTCCAATAGTTAAGTGCCTTATAACGGTGGAAAATATATTGAATAGCTCTTAATAAGTTACTAAAATAAAACCATTATAGGCTGCATCATCGCTTACCACCAGGCAAGATAGTGGCCAAACTTCGGCCCATCAAATTTTATTTATTTTTAGCCATGGTCCCTACAGCCAGTGCTCCCTACCCTCATTCCACGTCGTGGAGAACCTAACGGGTTACCGGGGCTCCGGCTCGACGTGCAGGAGTAGGAACGGGGTGGTTTTTAGTCAGTAAGAGTCTGACACTCCCTCCCGCCTCACCCAGACGGGAGAAGTCATTCGATGATTATCCCCCCTTAAAAAAACCCTCATTCCACTCTTCTCTTCTTAAAGCTTTCTGTGGCCAATCCTTTTTATAGGCGTCAAGTTCTGCCATCTCCTGGGTCTACCGCGACGTCTACTGACGTTGAGTGGGCTCCACTCAGTAGTAAGTTTTAAATATCAAATATATAAAAAAAATATTTAAACAATGAACCTTGACGCAATAAGTAAGTACTATTCAAACAGCTGTAACTACAACCGGCCTACCTAATGAACTCCCTATCAACACCTTCATTACATTACAAAACGTATAAATTAAAAGATCACAAGGAATAAAAAATAAACTACAGCGCAACATTCTAAATAAATACACAAGTCAATCTTTGAAGTCGGGTTAATAAACTTATTGATCGAAACTCGGTTACATTGTTGTCATCATGTTTTATGGTGTATCGTAAATGATTCTGTGGTAAATATAGAATGGGATAAAATGTTCTCGTTACGGCGTTTTGCTTAACATTAGGGGGAAAGTGTTATTTAAATCTTACACAGCTAATGAAAGACGTTACTAGTTACTATATCGGGATAGTAGACGCATGACCCAGGTACCATGACATAACATAAAGGAAATAACATCACGTCTTTTTTCTCCGAAGGGGTAGGTAGAAGTGCACATTACGGCACTTAATGCCACTGTATAATGAAACACCTACATTTCACTATTTATTTTATGAGTCCCATGTAATAGAGAGTGAGCCTATTGCCATATACCGGGCACAATTCTAAACTATGTGTTACTACTGTGAGAAGTTTTAAAAACCCTTGTAATACATTACCTACTTGCCCTGCAGTCGCACTTGCGACCACTCGGCTAACGAGGCAGGCAAATAGGTACCATTAGGTAGGTACCTATTTGTGCAATTTGTTAAATGAGTAATCGCGTTGGCCCAAATTTGCGTAAGTTCAATACCTACCCAATTTAGACAGAGCCAAAAGAATTCAATTTAGTGCGTAAATCAAGTGTACCTATCTATTATTACTTTCTTTTACTTACTCTTATTTGTAACTGAATAAACAAAAATCAGCAAGAGCCAGGTTCCATACACTCCATGCCCGTCCTTCATATCACCACCACTCTCGTGCCACCGAAACAAAACAGAATTCATATCAAAAAAAAGATATACCTAAGTATATAAGAAAGTAAAGCAACGAACAAAAGGATCAAAAGACATTGTGTACGGTAATATAAAACATAAACAGGGCGTCATTGTAAGTGTGTCGTCCATCATTTTATCTTCGAGTTTCTAGCTGGTACTTCACGACTCACTAATGAGTTTTTCTCTTATTCCTTTCTACCTATTGTGTGAGCAGTCCACTTGGTGTGCTTGTAATTTTATTTGTGTCCAGTTGCAATGGAATTTGTTTTGGGTTATAGTAAATATAATAAATTATATATAATACTGCACTAAAATTGTTTTTAGCTCGTTGTTCAGCTATTCTATCCATAACAATTTGTTCAGCATTATTTTGGCAAAATTTTAATTTACTTTTAAATACTTTCGCTTCTCATACATTTCATTATAGACAGAACCCGAGACCAGACTCTTACTGACTAAAAACCACCCCGTTCCTTCTCCTGCACTTCGAGCCGGAACCCGTTAAGTTCTCCGCGACATCCTACTTAGGTATAAGAACTATATTTATAAAAAACCATACACCTCGGTTGATTATAATGAGCCTGTAACAGATCTCGTCCGCGTAACCCACATACGCAAAAATAACCATCCAACGCCATTCATAAGCTTCGCTAATTTCGTAGTAGGTACCTATCTACTACGAAATACCTCATAAGTATTTGTAGGTAGATATCGTAAACCAGGCGTAGCGTGAATTATTATAAAAATTGCACATAAAACATCCGAGGTGTTTCCTGTGCCCTCTTGATCCAATTTAGTGTTATGATTGATCATTGACGTGTTGAAGTATTTACTGTGGGTACAGTCGATACCTGAAGTGGTGAAATTCTACTTAGTCAGCGTGTAATGTGGGATTGGTCGATTTTACTTTGTGTTAAGATAGGTATATTATAGGCTACATGTTTGACAATGGTCAAAAACGTTTCTTGAGACCCTTCCTTTCCATTACTAATAAACGTAACTTGCATTCACATTGAATAAAATTGATAAAATTGATTCGATATTATCACATAGGCAGGGAATCGAATCCGCTCGACGTTGCACAGAAGTCGTTTATCTAGCCACGCCAATCTTGCAGTGGACAAGCGATCATGAAGTTTCAGGTAAAATTAAAATGTAAATATTAAGTACAGAGTTTGGAATATGATGCCCATAATTAGGTAGGCTTAGGTACCTATTAAGTGCAATGGCCTAAACAACGTAACTACAGAAACGTCCTAAGATATCAAAATCCATCAATTTCCATAACTGTAACGGTAATAGATGACTTATACTAGGACATTGGGTACTGAATCGATGTGGTCGTTAATACTATTAGCGGTAAGCCGGTTTCCAATATGGCTACCAGCTACCAAGCGAATAATTTCATGTGTTTGCTTGTGTAGGCAAAAGGTCGGTAGGTAATATGATATCAGTCTCACAATAGGTAATATTGGGAATTTAATAGATTTTGTTGTTTCTATTTTCATTTGGGGTAGGAAAAATAAAAGAAAATTGATACGTCTACTGAAACTTCGCAACCCAAAATGTTTGGTTTCATAATTTAGGGTTACCTAAGTACCTTTTTAATGGGACAAGCCGGTAAACGAGCAGACGGATCACCTGATGGTGGCAACCGGCGCCGCCTAAGGACAACCCAAACACCAGAGGCGTTACGAGTGTGTTACCGGCCTTTTGAGGATTAGTTGTTTGAGGATAGTTGGAGATTTGATAATCGGGGTAATTGGGCCTCCGGTAACCTCACTCTCACGACGAAACAAAACGCAGGCATTGTTTCACGTCGGTTTTCTGTGAGGCCGTGGTATCACTCCGGTCGAACTGGCCCATTCGTGCCGAAGCATGGCTCGAAAAATATTAATTGTTCTCTATTTCAAGAACTTAAAATAGATTTTTAAATAA